TTCGTTGAGCAGGCATTGGTTTAAACGGAGTCCCAGAACGGTGAGAGTGGCTGCGGAAAAAATTCCCGGTGGAAGGACCATTGCGAGAGGCACGGGCGGGATTGCGGAAGCAATCGTGCTGGAGATGACCAGGGCCAGTCTTGTTGCAAAACCGACAAAGACGAACTGGACAATTAACCAGAAGATGAGTCGATGGAAGATTGCGGTTGTGATAGTAATTGCAGGCATTGGACCTCTGTGGTGAAGGTGAGGAAGGAGAACTTCGAATCTGGGGAGTGGCAAGAACAGAGTCCACAGGGTGCGGATGGAGAGTACCAAATCTAGTTTCCTCGGACAACAGTTCTGAAATTGCTTGCTCAAGAGTGGGTAAAGGAGTTCGATGAAGGAGAGATGCGCGTACTGGCTCAAAGCGAGGAGTGAGAGCCATGAGAAACTGAACCAAGCGCTGTTGGTCACGGTAAGTAGTAAACAAGGTAGCATCCTTAGTACAATCCCACGGAGGTTCAGAAAGAGCGAGCTGATCCCAAGCATAATACATTTGGGAGAGAAAATCATTAATGGTTTGAGTTGTTTCTTGACGCATACCGTGAAGATGACTCAGAAGCTGATATTGGTGAGCAAGGCTAGTAGTTTGATAGCGTTCTTGTAAAAATTCCCAGATTGCTTTGGCAGGAGAGGAAGCAGAGTCAAGTTGGAACCGACCAAACTGAAGGCTGATAGATGTAATAGAAGTATTGCGAAACCAAGTGATGATCTGATAGTTTTTACTATCCCAATCTTCCAGTCGGTCGATATATTTGGCAGCGGAGTCCGTGGCAGTGGAATCTGTGGTTTCTGGAACGGGTTTGCACACATCCCCAGTAATGATGCGCCAAAGTTTCTTTCCTTTGAGGAAGCCAGACATAGCTTGTGCCCATAGGACATAATTAGTCCCGTCAAGAATAGCGGAAATAGGGTGGGTAGTGGAGTCTAGGCGACCCATGAGAGAAAAATAGCACAAATGAGGTAGAATCTGAAAAAACTGAGGTTACCAGTGAATTCAGAAGGTCGAAATTAGTCAGAAAAGAAGTGAACTGACCAAAAATATGACCAGAAAGGCAGAAAATGGATTAGTCAACGAAGCTGGTCAAACAGAATGATGCAGGGCTGACGTCGGTCGAAATTAGTCAGAAAAGAAGTGAACTGACCAAAAATATGACCAGAAAGGCAGAAAATGGATTAGTCAACAAAGCTGGTCAAACAGGATGATGCAGGGCTGACGTCACAGGCGCGGCGCACGTTAGCAGAGAGTGGCGCGGCGCACGTTAGCAGGCGAGAGACACACGGCGCACGGAAGCAGCTAGGGCTAACGTCAGAAACACGCGGCTTACGTTAGCAGATGGTGCCGGGGCGCACAATAGCACCGGACAGTGTAGCCATGATATATTAGTAAGTTATCCCCTGAACTTAAGAATGTAAATCAACGGCCGAGATCTAATCATTTGATGACCTAATTGATAACTTAAAAAGAGACGTGAAATATAACTACAATTTACTCAATTTTCTTATTTTCTTTTTCAAATCCATACACAAATCTATTATCCAAGATTTTTTAGGTACTTAAAAGGAGAAATTATTCAATGCTCATGGAGCAAGTTTAGGTGGTGATTAATGAAAGAGAAATTGAGAGAGTTGAGAGAGTAATATTGAAAGGGGTTTTTGTATTATTAACACTCTGATTACAAACCAAATGGAGGCTCTATTATATAGGAGAGCTGAATACAAACATCATTATGGTATACATCACTAATATAGGAGCTCGGATACAAAACATCATGATGATGTAATTTAATAAAATAAGAAAAAGGACGCCGAAAGATGGTGGGCGACCGAAAGCAACCGAAAGCTATCTTTCTATATTATATACATGCTATAAGTGGTAACATATTATATTAACAACTATCTATACATACTATCATATATAGTATTTAACAATTATATTCATATACTATCATATATAGTATTATGTGCATATGTTAACAGTTTTAAATATCAGCTAATATATGTTGAGTTGTTGTCATTTCAATATCGATATATATGCCTCAATAGACTGATTGGAATAAAAATCACATTCATATGATTGGTTTCAGGTATGAAATTATAGTTGCAAAAAAATAACACATAAAATATAAAGTGTACCTGATTCATCTTGCATGTTATGTGGATCATGCTTAAAATAAATATAAATTACAGTACATTTTCTTTGTATTTTAATTTTGTACATGTAACACTATTGATACTCATTAGCCAATTTACAACCGATATGACTGGTTCACAAGGTTGGTTAGACTACTATAAATATCTTCTTCCTTTTTTTTTTTCTTGCCACTGATGATTTGAAAATAAAATTAATTGTTTGGTTTACATTTTTAGAAACTATTTTTAAACAAATTTTTGTTTATGTTTATTAAACTTTTTATATATTTAAGTCATTTTTTTTAAATTTAACAAATACGTCAAGATTAGATGCATCTAAAATGTAAAATTTTTTAACTAAAATATTAAAAAAATCACTAAAAACAAACAAAAATGCACACGGATTTTTGTTTAATTTTAGTGATTTGTTTCAATATTTTAGCTAACTTATTTTATTTTTTAGATGTTACTTGATTATGTACATCTAAAATGTAAAAAATAAAAAAATAAAAAAAAACACTAAAAATAAACGAATACTCATAAAAAAAAAAAAAACAGTTTTTGAAAAATCAAACCACAGACACGACGATTTGGTGGAGAGAAAGTTGTCAAGCAATAATATTTGACAAAGTTTTATTCGTTCGATATTAATACAATATACTAGTTATAATGAAAATGAGATGCATATTAGGCAGATACGTATTGGTTCATAATAGATTCATTAGCCAATTATCCGCTAGTTTGGCTATTATAAAATTATTTTTTGCTGCTGACAATTAACAGTATCGACAATATAATTATATATTATTTTGTATTAAATAATATCAACTAATATATCAATGAATAAAAATATTGTAAGTCTAAAATGCTGATATATATTGAGTGATGCATATCATTTGATATTTCACACTGACCCGAAACCAATCCAATAATTAAGAGATTTTTTTTAACACTTACAAAGTCCAATAATAGGTGGTAAGTTAGCCAAAGTGGCATAACTGATGCCCTGAGGAACAGCGAGGGTGGCAATGGTGATTCCGGCGACCACGTCAGCCTTGAAGAAGTCGAAAGTGTATCGAGGAGCCCATTCCAGTATGGGCACAAAGTACTGCAACCCAAGTACCAGTTTCCGACCCGGTGGTTGGTTCTTGAATTGCCTCAATGGATCGTCAGGGAAGAAAGTCTCCTTCAGAGATGATTTCAGTGAGCTCAAGAATGGCTTCGATGGAGGCACAGTGACTTTTTGCCGGCATTCCAAGTCGAGGTTACCCATTTGTCGCTAATTTGAATCGGTTTTTTTAAAGGTTCTTTTGAGTTTGTTAACACTGTCACCAAAAAAACAAAAAAAAAATGGTGATAAAATGTAATATTGTTGGAATGGGTATTGATAGCAAAACTTGTGTTTGCTCTGTGTGTATGAGAGAGAGAGAGAGAGAGAGAGAGAGCGCAGAGGAGGTGGCTTTTGGCAAGATATGGTGATGTAGGATTTTTGCTTGCTAGTGCAGAATATGGTGTGTGTGTGTGAGAGAGAGAGAGAGAGAGAGAGAGAGAGAGACGGGTGCTATGAGACCACAAGGAGGGTTGGGATATATAAAGGGAAGGAGAGGATGGGGGTCATTGCAGAAATTCTTAGGGGAATGTGAGGTGTGTCACCCATTCATAATAGTGTTATTTTAACTCAAAAATTAAATTTATGTTTTAAATTTAATAGTGCGATAATTTATTAAAATATTTAAGATAATTATTCTTTTTTTTTTAATGTGTTTTCTACTCTTGTGAATCATCTCTTCTCTTTAATATATTACTGGATCTTTAAAATAAATTTAAAAAGTAAACTCCATCTTTTATATATATCATTTTTTTAGTTATTAATGATCGTGTGTTCTAGTGAATATTGATTATAATGGTATTGGAAATTTATTAGATACTTTCAAAATGTTATATAATATTATTTATATAGGAAAATGATTCAATATATTCAAATTAAAACACTGTATACGCAATATGTGATTTCATATGATATTTTGAAAATACTTAATAATTGTCTAATATCATTAAATACTTATGGTGTGTTTGGTTGGGAAATTTAGGGAGAGATTTGGAAAGGGAAAGGGAAAAGGTGTGTGAAACTATGTGAAATGTAAGTATATTTTATTCACATTTCACCTAACTTTTCATTTTTCCTTTCCAAATCCCTCCTCAAATCCCCCAACCAAACACAGCATTAATAATTGTCTAATATCATTAATTAATAAGGATTCTCACACTGTCCCCTCTAGTTTCATTTATGGTAAATATAGAATGATATCACAGTATATTATGGGTTGTTTAGGAAGTGTTAAAATAGTATACTTTTTTGAATTTTTATGAAAAAATGTGAAATATAAGTTGGATTGAAGTAATGTGATAGAGAAGTGATGTAACCTAAATAAGATGATTAGGATCCAAATAGAATAATGTGTTAAAATATCATGTACTATTTTAACACATGTCAAATAAAGCCTAAATACTTGTTTTGTGGTTCATGTTGATATTTTTTTTCTCAAAAAATAGTACATGTGATCTTGGGACAAATTTATATAGTGCCTTAACTTGATATTTTTGTGATTTATATAGTTGGCATTTTTTTGGGGTCAAATTCATATAATGCCTTAATTTAATATTTATTAATTAAAATTCTAAGATTTAATACTTTATGTTAAAATTTTAAAAAATAACTTTACAAATATCAAATGATAAGTGGATGAACTAGTTTTTCAATAGTGTTATACGTATCAATTGGTATATTAATTAGTGTATTAATATATGTTATGATATTGTTATTTTAACATTATGACTCCACTTATTATACAAATTACAAATACTTAAAACTTCTAAAATTATATCAAATCATCTATTAATGTATTAATTAATATAACAATTGATAGATATAGTATTATTATTAAATAATCACTCATCTTATTGTTAATAAAGTCGAATAATTACTCTAATAGTGGGACTCACAATTCAGTAACACGTGGCAACTAGTCACCAGAATAATTTACCTACCTAGACGACGTTGCCTTCTTGTTAAGGTTCGCTGCAGTTACATGGTTATTGCAGGTTTCTATGAAATATAATATGGATTTCGTTTTAATATGAGAATAATTAAATTGATGTGATAATCTTTTATCTTAGTATATTTATTTATAAAAAATTGATCAATTTTTTATAAATATATTTATCATTTATTTAAAAAAATAAATAAATGTGACAAAATAAAAATATTACTATTATCAAATATATTAGTTTTTTCTGATAAAATAAAAATGTCACGATTATTAGGCTGATCTCATTTTTTTCATAGATAATATACAAGGAAGACCTCACAGCATAAGTGGTTCAGATTATCAAAATAGAACCTATGATGAATCTTACGTGCTTAAACAGTTCTCTCAAGTTTAAATTTAAATTTGAGAAAAACTCAACGTATTATAAATATTAATAATATTATTATTTTATTGTCTTTGTTATGAAAATTGTATATACCAAAAACTATTAAAAAAATTTACTAAAAACAAAAAGCACGAAAAATAAAAATAAAAATTTAATTTTAAAAAAAATAGAGATAACCAAACAATGTGATTACTATTTAACAATTCTAACCATCTAACTTTGTATAAAATAATTCAAAATTTTGAATAATTCGAAGTGTTCATCAAGTCAACCTTATATATATATATATATATATTTTTTTTTTTCTTCTTTTAAAGTATTAATAAAAATTAATGTGTTTCTATATTGTATCACTTTAATTTAGAAGGTTTTATAGTGCATTCAATAAAATTTTTTGCATAGTCTTCTCTGTTTTTTCCCTCAATTTTCCCATTTTTTATTATTTTTTTCCCTCGTTTTGATTAACTTCTATAGGTTTGGTATGAGTGACTCAATTGGTGGGGCTGATGTGGGTTTCTCCAAGTTTCAACTGTCGTACTTCTTTGTTGGTCGCATGATTCAAATTAGAGTCAGCTAAATCAATAGTTTTTTAGTATTGATAGCACATGACTTTTAAATTCTGGAAATTGAGGAACTCATACAAGATAGATAGCAGAAAAGTTTATTTAATTAGAAACCAAAAGTAAAGAATATGAAACTCATTAAGAGGAAAAACTAGTATATATGATCCTGTAATGGGGACAAAAGGAGAAATTGAATATAACAAAATAGGAGTATCATCTGATTGGGCTGTATGTATGCAAGAAAAATAAGAAATTCAAACTTATCAAGCAAACATTAATAGAAAGTTGTGACTGAAACATTTTGGAAAAGAAAAATAAATTCAAGCAATTAATTTTCAGATTCAAACTTAAAATTAAATTCAGAGTTTTGAAAAAAAATTGTATTTGATCGTCAATATTCTACAGAATATTATATGAATGGAGGTCCGGTATGATTTGAAAGTTCCTTGTCTATATGAATATTATGTAGAATATTTGATAATTTTTTTAATATATACTCCTTTTTATTTAGCTAAGAAATGTTCAAAATATTTCTCTCATTTTATTTATTTATTTATTTATTGTTGTTGTTGTTGTTTCCTTGAATGTATTAATGTTGGATGGTTGTTGTGGTTGCGGGGCATGTTGGTATGGTTTTAGAATTGATTTTTTTAATTTTTTTATTAAAAAAAAATTGTATCAAAAGATATAATTTTTAATTTTTTATATTTTTTTATTTGTTTTATTATTTTATATAAAAATAATTTAACAATTCCTCACTACTAATCCCCTCACTAATAATCCCCTCACTATTAATCCCCTCCATTCTATATCCTAAAACAAACGGGTCTTAAGGAATTGAGTAGGGGGATTTGGCGAAGATATCACTAGAAACTAGGACTAAACACTTTTGAATTTATTAATATATTTAAATCTATATATATATATATATATATATTTATAATACGATATTCAGCCATTGGGAAATTTATTAATACATTTAAATCTGTATTATTATTATATTATATGGTGCCAACTTTCAATTCAATAAGTGGGAGAAGGACTTAAGTGGTTTTTTTTTTTTAAAATTATCTATTATATAAGGATAAATAACTTTTTAACTTACAAATTTTGTGGAAGTTTCATTATTTTAATCTTAATTTCTTAATTTTTTGATTAAAAAAAAATTTCTGCCCTCTAATTTAAATAATATTAGATATTATCCTAAATTCTATCACCCCTTATCACAACAGCCTAAACTTTGGAAGAGAGATTAATAACTTAAACCTAACGCAATAGCCTAAACCTTTGGGAGAGGGAGAATAACCTAAACCTAACGCAACAGCCTAAACCTAAACCTATTACATCAGCCGAATCTTTACGCAGCGACAACAACCTATGCAACAATTTGAGAGAGAGAGACTAATGCCTCGTTTGAGAACATGCTATTTTAGTAACTTTTTGACTTTTTGGCTAAAATATGAGGTGAAAAAAACTAGTATGTTTGGGATGACTTTTTGACTTTTTACGAAAAGATGTGCAAAAAGTAGAGAGAAAAGAGAATCTTTGACTTTTTTGTATAAGTTGTTGGCTTTTTGATTTTTTTAGTAACTTTTTGACTTTTAGGCTAAAATAACCACTTGCCAAACGAGGCCTAAGACAAAATCTTGGAAGAAAAACATTTTAAAATTTGTAAATAAATCATTTATTTTTTAATATGGTGATTATATTTTTAAATTGATTAAGAATGATTGTATTCATTAAGTTCATGAGAGGGAAAAATATGGTCTGGATTGGGCCATGGTAATAGCAGGAAAATTGTGGGCCGAACACATTTGGGCCGTGGTATCCCGGCTCCACCCAGAAGTGATTTTTGCTCGGCAATGGCAAGGGCATGTGGAACCGAGCTACTTCACCTTGTTGGCACGGAGGCCGGTCAAGTAAGTGTTCCACGGTTTATGCGTTGTGCGGTTGGAAAGCACGCATCCATAGCTCGCGCGTGAAGGCTCTTGCCTGAAGCTCGGCAGGAAGGACTTTGGTTGACCGGTATGACTAATCTCAAGCTTGGCTTCGCCGGAATGCAGTCGAGCATGGCTGGAAAGGAGCTCGGTTGTTGGGGGCACTTGGGCATGAATCGCAGCATGGCCGTTGACAGCCGAGATGCTACAGCTCGGCTACCGAGCTCCCAATACAGTAGGCTAGCAGTCGGGTTAGGAGATGTTCAGCAAGATTTGTGCTGACAGATGGGATAGCAGCACCACGTGTCGAGAGACGAATGTGAGTAGATTTGGGGCGCAGAAGGTATATAAGCAAGTTTGCGCCCCCCATGCTGTGATAGATGAACATTTGGTAAGAGAAATACTTACACTCAACTCTTCTCTTTCTCTCTCTCTATTCCTGAGTGCGTGCTAACTTGATCGTCGGAGGGGTTTTCCGCCCACACATCGCCGGGTAGCTCACTGCCGTTGTGCTTACAGGTGATCGGACAGAAACGAAGCTTGGAAGAAAGGAATACGGGCTTGCCTGAATATTTGCTTCCCGTACAGTTCAGATAAAGTATTAACTATTGATAATTAAGAATGATTGTATTCATTAGGTTTACATAAAGTATTAACTATTGATGATGATTGGATTGTATTTTGTGAGTGTGATTGGACTTAATTTATTTTTCAATATGGTGGTTGTATTTTTAATCTATGTTTTTTAAATAAAAAAAAGATTGTATTTATTATATTCACATAAAGTACGCAATATTGATGATGGTGATGATGATTAGATTATATTTTGTAATTAGATTTTTTAACTCATTGTATTCATTATGCTTTTTAACTATTAATTAACTTAATTCATGATTGGGTTTTTAACTTATTATGTTTTTTATATTTTTTAATTACCAATTGACTTCATTGTTAGCAAAAATATGATTGTGTTTTTTTGCACTCCGTTTTGATCACACGGTGATTTTGTTTTTTTAAATGATTGTGATTTTTTACATTCCATTTAATTTGTGTTTTTTGAAAAAAAAAAAATATTGTCTTCATGTTTTTCGAATACAATCACATGGTGATTGTATTTTTAATCTATGTTTTTTGAAAAAAAAAAATTAGATTGCATTCATTGGACTCACATGAAGTACCCACTATTAATGATGATTAGATTATATTTTGTGATTGTGATTGAACTTAGTTTAATTTTTAATACGGTGATTGTACTTTGAATCTATCTTTTTTTAAAAACAAACAAATTGAATTATATTCATTAGTTTCACATAAAATACCCACTATTGATGATGTTGATTACATTGTATTTTGTAATTGGGTTTTTTTAACTCACAGTATTTTTTTTTTAAAAAATGGTTGTGTTTTTTTAACTATTAATTAACTTAATTTGTGATTGATTTTTTTAATTTTTTATAATTAGATGCAATGTTAACATTATGGTCAAAAACAATACTGGTTCAATAAATCTTATTGTTCAAGATAAACGGTCAGAGTTTATCTTGCGATGTCAACCATCATATTTGAAGAATATGAGATTAAATGTACAAAACTATACAATTTATTATAAATAAATTATTCCTACATTTTCAAACACAATGTTATAATTCCAAAATTTTACAGGATAATGGAGTTAGAATGCTTAAAGATTATATTACGTCATGCCAAGATCGTGCCTATGCATTTATCATACCTGTACCAACAATGCAATGTCAATTAGATTGTGCACCGTGCGCGACCCTTGTTTTAAATATAGATTAGTCTGAAGAATGTTAATACCTTTTAGAAGGTAAAAAAAAGAAAAGAAATATATAATATGTAAGTATAACATTTTTACTTTATAATATTTTATAAATATATAATATATGTGTTGTTTATCAATTATAATACTATAATCATGTTGGCAATGTAAGAATACTGATGGAAGACCCACAATAATTTAGATTTTAGTTATACTTTGTTTTATTTATTCAGTAAATTTCGAACAAATGTAATAAATTCTTATTTTTATTACTTTAATTATGCAATGTCAACATTTTCTTTTAAAATGACGTATATTTTATGCTAATAATTTAAAAATATGTTTGACATAATCATAAATAGTTTTTTAAATTTAATCCCATATATAACACGGATGACATGCTAGTTTAGTGTTATATATATATATATTTTCCTACTAGCTTTCACCAAGAAACACCTAACAATACTGATATTTCATGGAGATGCATAGAATATCCAAATTAACCCTTAAATTATTATGATTTTTTTTTATCACCCCTTAATTCTTGAAAAAAAAAAAGAAAAAAAAAATTCATGCACCAATAGAGCGCCAAAAAAAAAAAGGGGCAAAAAATGATTCAACATTTGGCTTGACAAGGTGTTTGAATTGGATCCGTTGCTCAATTGAAAGGTATGAAATAAATTTGTGATGGTTTAAAATTAGAACTGATATACAACATTAAAGAGTGGCCACCCTTGCTCAATTTGGGTTAATGGAAATATCAAGTACTTGAACTACGTTCGTTGTAAACGATATAATATTCTTGACATACCAGAATTGTAACATTTGAATTTTTCTTATAAAATCAATCTTGTCAAATATTTCACATTTTTTAGTTTGCGAAATATTCTCTCTCATAACATATGTAATCAATGTCATAGGTTAAAAACCAACCTACCCATAGCAAGCCATTGCAAATTAAGCTCACAGCATGTGGTTGATGTGTACAAACAAATATTTTCTCAAGATAGTGTTTGTCAGACAAGCATATGCTGCCAAAAAGTTTGGTAAAATAAGAAAAAACACAAATATATATTAAAGTACTTTGGGAAAATACTTTTTAAGTGGTGTTTTTAAGTGCAAAAATATTTTAGAACTCTGATTCTGTGAGTTTTAATAACTTTAATAGGGGTGCGTCCCACTATGATATTTTAGTTTTGGTTTTGGTTTTGATTTTTTTTTTTTTTGAGTTGCCAGTTCAGTAAAGTTTTATTTGGAATTATATTTTTAGAGCTATCAATTACTGCTGTTTTAAGTGGGTGTGGGCTTGATAGCTTAGCAAATTTAGTTGATGTATATATTTAAATAGAAAAATGTTTGATAGCTCGAATTTGTGTGATCCGAATGGTTCGAATGTATAAAAATAATATCGTTTAAAACGCCCAAAACGACATTATTTTAAGACATTCAAATAATTTAAACCATAAAAATTCAAACTATCAAGCATTGTTGATTTAAATATTAGATGCGCAAGTAGTCATGGAGTGGAAAAAGAGTACAACTATTGCCAAACGTATGTTAGCAAGATTTGATTAATGTTGGGTGGTCATTTTTAGATATTTGAGAATGCTTTTACATTAATGGAGGTGCCATTAAAATAAATAAATAAATAAAATTAATTAATTAATCAGTAAGAGGAGAATAGGAGAATAGGAGAAAAGTAAGACCTGAGTTTGCACATCATGTAAGAAACCCCATAACTAGTAAGGGTTGTTTTGGAAACTTCATAAAAAGTTAGTTTTTTTATTTTTTTAAATTTTTAACACAAAAAAGTTACAAAAGGCTATAAAAAAAAAAGTTATAAAAAAATTAAAAAAAAGTCAAAAAAATTAATTTTTTACTAACTTTTCAAAATACCACTCAAGTCAAACACTTTTTTTTTTTTTTTGTTAAAATTATAAGATATTAGTAAAATTAGATTATAATCAAAAGAGTCGTCGTTGTTTTATTAACTTGAGCACTTCCTTTCACTACACCCTAAGCGTGACTACAAGAACAATGGGCCAAAACCGAAGGTCTTAAGTAGGGGTGTAATTCTAGCCTGGCCTAAGCGGGTCTCACGGGCTTCTGTTTTTTTGGTGGGTCGGGTCGGGTTGGCCCACGTGCCGAAAAGTATGGCACATGCTCACTCAAAATAGGGCCTAGGGCCGAGCTTGCGGACTCAGGCCACGGGTCGGGCCTGGGCGGGCCTTTTTTTTTTTTTTGAAAAATAAACGATAAATACATTATTTATGTAGATTATTTATTAGGGTTAAAAAATAAAAGACAAAATTGTACTAGAGTATTTTACTTGGTTGTCATTTTTCATTTTTGAGTTCTAAATACTCACAAATTTACAGTGGTAGATTCAGGTGACCAGTAGCATGATAGGAATAAGCATCACCTAGGCAATTAATTTTGTCATTATTGCAATTGTCCATTTAATCAATTATGTCTTTTGTTCGGGTTTTCGGTTGGCCTTTGCCTGGCATTCCTCTTCTTATTCTCTTGGTATATGAGTTGGGGTTCTTTGGTCTTCCATTCTTGTATTGACATAATCTAGTGCAATTAATTGAAAGACATAACTCATAATAGTTGATTTGGACACTTTTTTTTATTTATTTTAAAATTAAAAAATTATCTAATCCAATTACCCACCTCAATGGTGAAAATTACACTCCACTACCACACATTACATGTGTTACAAAAGAAGCTCATCAGGGGCAAAAATGTCTTTATAATTATACGAATTCCCACATTTATCCCTGTACTTAAAACCACAGTTTGCCTTAAATTCTTGTAATTGTTAAGCTTCTGTTGTGTTTTGAACACGTGTTTTCATCTCGATATGTGTAATTATAACCATATATACATTTTGTATTATGTCTAATATTTCTTCTTCACATGTCTGTTCTGTTCTGTTATTTATTTATTTATTTTTCAGCAATCGTGCTGCAGCATTTCTGAATCTGGTTAAGCTCAGCAAAGCACTTGCAGATGCCGAGACTACAATCACTTTGAACCCTACCTGGGAAAAGGTACATGACTTCTTTATTACATTCTGCTTCGTTTTCTCGAGTTTTAAGTAAGAGATGCCACTGATTGCACTTGCAGGGCTATTTCAGGAAAGGGTGTGTATTAGAGGCAATGGAACGATATGATGACGTAAGCATACAAGTTCTTCAATCATGTTTCATAGCCTCTTTCCGAGAACAAATATTCCAATGCTGATATCTCTACTGCTTACATAATGTAGGCCTTAGCTGCCTTTCAAATAGCTTTGCAGTACAATCCGCAAAGTTCAGAGGTGTCAAAAAAAATAAAGAGGCTTGCACAGCTGGCGAAAGATAAAAAACGAGCTGAAGAAGTGGAAAGCATGAGATCCAACATTGATATGGCAAAGCACTTGGATGTCTTGAAATCTGAACTGGTGAGTAGTTTTAAGTAATGATTCCTATTTTTATCTGAATAAATTGTTATGTGTGTATATATATATTTATGCGTCTAGGAGATATTCTCTCAGTTTGTTCCATTTAATTCTTTTTGATTGCTGAGCTCACCTGTGGAGGTTAGTTTTACCGTCTTTCCTGCTTTTATCATTAAGAGGTGTAAGAGTTTTCTTTTTAATGTTTCAGCTTAACTATAAGAGCCTTAAAGAACCATCTTATATTGAAGAATTCCCATAAAGGGAATTAATTTAATCTCCTTTTTTTGCAGTCTGAGAAGTATGGAGCTGAAGAAAGTTGGAAAGAAATTTTCTCTTTCCTTGTTGAAACAATGGAGACAGCTGTAAAATCATGGCATGAAACTTCTAAAGTGGATGCTAGAGTTTATTTTCTTCTTGATAAGGAAAAGACAGATAATGATAAATATGCCCCAGTTGTCAATATTGATAAGGTAGGTAGTTCTTTTTTCAAATTTTCATTTTCAGTGTTTATACAGTTTTTAGAATTTTTTCCTTGTTGATTTGTTATTCTGAATCAAACAAAGTATTTGCTTGTTTAGAGCTTCTTGCTTCAATGACATAATCTCAGATTATATGACAACAAATTTAATTCTTCGATCATACCAGGCATTTGAATCACCCCATACACACGGCAGTTGTTTTGACTTTCTTAGGCAGTATGCTGATGATTCTTTCTCTCACGCGGCTTGCTTAGTGGCACCCAAGAGTATTATATCTTACCCACAGGTAACTTATAACCTATTTGCATTATCCTCTTTAGGCAATCCTATCAAAAGTAATTTGATATATAAGGATGAACGCAAATTAAATGTGGTTTGCCCGGTCGTTAACTTCAGGGCCTGTGATTAGTCGAGGTGTGCGTTAGTTTGCCTGGACACCTAGTTATCAAATATATATATATGTGTGTGGGCTAGTTTATCAAGATTATTAACTGTAAATTATATGCCATTTTGTTTTGCAGGTTTGGAAAGGTCAGGGATCAAGGAAATGGAAGCATGGACAAAATGATGGATTCTTCGTTCAATTTGAATCACCTTTATCCCGAAAATTGTGGTTTGTTCCCAGTTCCACTGAGAAGGGGCAAATATTGTGCAGGTCTCTCTCTTTCTCTCTCTCTCTCTCTCTCTCACACACACACACACAGCATGCATTCATAAGCTCACATGCACATTAAAATCATCACGGCATGGGATAAGATATATTTCTAGCTTAAAAGGTTGTTAAGGTTAGTACAAAAGGTATGATAAGATTATCTCAATTGTATTGTTTTTATTGCGACATGCTTATTTCATAAGCTGATTAACATTGATGAATCGATATTTAACTGTTGAATTGATCACGTACCGGTGGCGTATGTCTCAATTCCAATGGTTTTAGGGCAACATGCTTATCTTACATCAGAGACTATGAGGGGGAGTCAATTATTAACTGACCACTTTATGGCAGTGAATTCTGTTATGCAGTGTTTGGTTTACCCAAAATCATTCAACAAATCAAAACACTACATTTTTTTTTCTTTTCGGTTGTGCTGCATCCCTATTTTTGTTCTTCTCCAAATTTAGTTGTGGGCTTCTGTGTTAGGAGAAAATGGGAAAGTATATTAGTATACTAGGGAATGTTTGTAGAAATACGTCATAAAGATGTCTGTGGCTGCACAAGTATAATACTCGTTCTTAGTAACAAAAAAGGGAAAAGATTGATAGTTGTTTCGAACATGTTTCACAACTCTGGGATGACCAAATCAATTTTATTTTATTTTTCTTTCTAATATTTGAAAATCCTGTAGAGTAGGCTGGCTATGCATGTTCTTATGCCTCATATCATGTAAATAGTTTATGACATTTACAGTGATACACAGTTTGATATTACATAGCCTTTTCCCCAGGGATCCAGTGGTTGTGGACATAAGTGCACATGAATTGCTTCCTCGTCTATTCAAGCAATCCTAGTCCAATTTCAGTTGCCTCTTTATCTTGGTTTGGAATCCATCATAGGACCATCACTGGCAAGCTAAATTGGGAGGCCTGTTATTTGGAACGAGGATAGAGTGCATGGTGCCCGAGTTTTAGTGGAGAGCCAGCTTCACATTTCCTGCATGGTCACATGAAATGCGAGCAAGAGAATACTTCGAGGTCTGTCATTGAGCTTGTCTTGAGGGTTTTGGCAAGCTTTTGCTTGTTTGCTTGTTTTTTTATTTATTTAAAAAGAAGTGATTGCATTTTGCGGTGTTTCAAAACTTGTGTTATGGCTTCATGTACTGTAAATGGTGATGCAGTTGTGAAAGTCATGTGGTGGTTCCTGTTGCCGGTTCTCCACGTGCTGATCTGATATACTCAAGATTTTTTTCTTCCTTTTTCTTTTTCTTTGGCTTAGATGCTTACCACACATCCAAGTTGTGAAAAAGGCATGGATTGTGATATTGAAAATTATGATTCCCCTAGAAAAGTTGCTGCTTTCCAGTATGCAATTGAGGAAGTGTAGGACCTTTTTGTATTATTGCAACTTAGTTTTTGTTCCATCACATTTATCAGCAAAGTAATTCGAGTGGCAATTGCATACAAGGCCCGTGATCAGACACGAGATTCTTTGTACTCAAAATTCATATTTTCTTTAAAAGGGGTCTTTGAAAGAGAGAATTTTCTTTTCTCCCTTTCATATTTTCTTTTCCTTGTCTGTTTTTTCAAATGAAAAAGGAAATCCCTTGTACATAGTTTTTTTTCCATTTCTCTCCCATTTTCTGTTGTTCCAAATGGATTAACCACTGATATACCACCAAAAAACCACTTTGCCACAAAATTTCAAACATGATTGCATTTCAGCTTTCCAGAAGTCTCAAGTTCTACATAAATACATAAGCTTGGGGGAAAAAAAAAACCCAATTATTATTCTTTGAAATTTCAATTAATATCAGTAGCAGAAGTGTAGTTACCCATCCTTGTCTTGTAATTTCAACCATCTGATTAGCCCTTTTATTGATCTTTGATCATACATTGTTATCATTCTCAGTTGATTCATCAACTGCTTTGGAGTTTGGCTTGCATGAGTGAAGCATGAAGTTGCAAGCTCCTACAGCCTCTGCAACTGTCAGATAGATCCACTCTTGACCAATCGCTTCGATGAACTTTGACTTGTCCAGCTTCTTCATCACCTCACTTCTAGGGTTTGCTAGTACAAGCTAAACATCAATGGTATAACTATTTAGACTTTTGATAGTTATGTGGAAATGAATAAAATCAATATAGCAAGAATGAAAAGTTTGTACCTTGAGACCTCTTGTATCAATGTTTCTCTTGACTTCTTCAAGCACGCTAATTCCACTTGTGTCTATGCTACCTACAGCTGCATTATAATTGGTTTCTTATTAGCAAGACTTGGATATATGTACATCTACAATCGGTTAAAGAGAAAGTTGTATTGTGCAACAGTGATTCGAATGAGTTTTCTTGATAAGTAGACGTCTCATCTATTAAAAGATTGATTAATGTGTTTCTTATTGATTGCTTGTCACTCAAATCTAATATATGTATTTGGTGAGAAAGAGAAAGAGAGATAGGATTGTGGATTTGTGACTGATTGCTTACCACTCATATCTAATATAACATATTGTAACCCAATTTTTTCAGAAGATTTTAGCTTGTCTTCCTCGTCATCGATCCATCTTGAGATCCTAAGAACAACATAACAACCAAAATGAGATCCATAATTCATGCTTAGTGTGTCAGTTAAACCTTGTTAACATTCTATTTATTAGGCTATATTTTTGTTTTTTTGGTTTTGCGTTTTTCAAAATAAAATATTGAAAAAACAAAAAAATTCGTAGTTTTTTTTCCTTGGCAAAAACAAATTTCAATAGAGTGTCCTAAAATGTGAGTTGTTTTTTGAAAATTTTCTCAAAATAGTTTTTGGAAATAGTTTACTAAAAAAGTTGTGTTTTCTTAAAGAATCCACTTGTGTGAATTGCACTGTGCAGTTGAGCTCATAGAGTCCACTACAGATCTTGTTATAATAATCTAAACGATTCATTTATAATAATAATAAAAAAGCTCACCATCCATTCTCTGAAGACTTGGAAAATATGATAAAATTTGGTGACTATGATTGCCGAATCAATATGATTTTTAATTTTTAATTTTTTTTGTGATTGATCTACAGATGAGGGTTTCATGAGTCGAACTGTACTAGATTAGTCCTTCTAAAACGTAGAAAATTAGAAAACAGAAAACTAAAACAAAATCAATTAGGTACCTTTCTCTTAAGTAGTTTGCGTTGGCAAAGTAAATAGGAGCATCGATCTGAAGGATGAGAATTCCAGCAACTCTGTTAGCAAGTGGGTACTGATCAATGCTTCTGTAAGTGATGGTTTTTGGAATGTTTCCCAAAACACAAGTCCTTGGCCTTGCTACGAATATCACCACCCGAAGCAAAGATATCACTACCTGAAATTTCAGTATTAAAAAAATCAATGAACTATATAGCAATAAAAAACATGCAAATTAGCATTCCTTTTGTTTTGGCAAAAGAAAAATATTTTTTAAAAAATATCTTACACAATATATATTTTCTTGTATTTAATTGTGATAAGGACTATCGATGTCCAATCAATTTGATTTTTTTACAATAAATTATACTCGATATATTCTAAAAAGTGAATGATTTAAATTATTAAAATAGAACTGAAAATGAGCCCAAATGATCACACAACAATACGGATTCCATAAATAAATAAAAAAACAGAGATGCCCCCTTTTAACTTCCCAAAAAATTGCCATTTATACAATGATTTTCAAAATATCTTCTAATATGCCCTTAGTTTTTTTTTTTTTTAATAAAACCCCACAATTTACTTATTATTATTGTTATTATTATGAAATCTCATATGAAAATTACCTCAGATTGACTGGATTAATTAGTTTATTTTATTTTTTTGAATCTATATGCTATGAAAAGTAAATTATGCTTTTTTTGGCACAAATATAACTAGACTAAATTAAATCAAATTGGACTGTATTGACCTTTTGCCTTAGTTCTATCTCCTTCCGCGAAAATCTTGGCTCTATTACTGGTTGTGACCCTAAAAATGATAGTGTTGGTAGCAACAATTGTGACGGCGTTTGGTAAGATTTGGAATGTATCGTTAGCTTTGGAAAGCGTTTTTTGTGTTAAAAAAACAAAAATGATTTTTTTGTGAAAATCAACTCATTTCCATTGACTTTCTTTTTTTTCATCATACCAAACATTAAAAAATACGAGACAAATGCATGTTGGATTGAGATATACATACCGCAATAACTAAGCCAATCTCAACACTACCAAAGACAACACCGAGGTAGGAGCTAATGCAGACGACGAAGTCGAACTTGTCAACCTTCCAAAGGTGGATGGCGGCTTCGTAATCGATGAGGCCAAGCATGGCTGCAATAATAATGGAGGAAAGCACAACAAGCGGAGTGTAATAGAATAGTGGTGTAAGGAACAACAGTGTTATCATTACTGCTGTTGCCATCACTATATTTGACACTGCTGTCTTGCCTCCTGCGTTGAAATTCACTGCTGTCCTTGAAAATGGTCCTGAAAAGATTTGGAATTCAATTGAATTTATACCCACAAAAAGAAATTAATTAGTAAAGAAACATATATACAAGAATAAAAAACACTTAAGACTAGGGCTAGAGCTCCTCTGTCACACATGAAATCATGTTTTTCCATATTCAATGTACTCATAATGTAGTAACAATTTTGAAGTACGAAATTAGGATGGTAGGATGATGTACCCTTAAACTAGATTCTAAACCAATCATTCCAACCCAACCCAAGCTCAAGTTTTGGGTCAGGGTGGTTTGGTTCAACCAGCTTAATTTACAAATGAGGCCCTCATAGAATAGATAATTATTGGAGAAACTACAATTCAGTAGGAGGTTGGGAAATTTTTTTATCAAAAGATAAGAATCTTTTAAGGGTGCAACCCTTGGTGAGGGCGCTTTTTTTTTTTTTTTGTTTTTAAAGAGTTTCAACTCCATTATTTTGTAAAATTTTTGGATATATGAATATATATGCGTACCTGAGGTTAAGTAGCAAGAAGTGCAGGAACCAGCAATATTCATCATACCAAAGGCAATCATCTCTTTGTTGCCATCAATATGGTAATTCTTAAACATTGCAAAACTTCTCCCCACTGCTATTCCTTCCTGCATCAAGTATAACCACATCATCATGCTGAATGCTGATCTAGATAAGTTCACATAATATTGGTATATTTGGATGACTAAAATTTTATAAAATTGTTGATGGAATTTACTCTTAAAGAATTTTGTTTATCAATTGTTTTTGGGTCTGATCCTCTGTTTAGTTTTGAAAGATTATTTTGAGAGAGTGAGAGAAGCTATAGAGCGAGAGAGAGACTCTGAAATGTTTGTATATTGATTGATTTACAAAGAGAATGAAGTCTCTCTTTATAGAGAGAAGATGGGCATTGGATACCACCATTTCCACCGAAAGCAAAAGATAAAGAAAAGCTATACAATTAGTAATATAAAGCTAAAGCTAGTCTAGTCTAACATAAAGCTATACAATTAATAATGATAAAGCTAAAGCTATTCTAACAGGTTGAACCAAACCACCCTGACCCAAAACTTGAGCTTGGGTTGGGTTGGAATGATTGGTTTAGAATCTAGTTTAAGGGTACATCATCCTACCATCCTAATTTCGTACTTCAAAATTGTTACTACATTATGAGTACATTGAATATGGAAAAACATGATTTCATGTGTGACAGAGGAGCTCTAGCCCTAGTCTTAAGTGTTTTTTATTCTTGTATATATGTTTCTTTACTAATTAATTTCTTTTTGTGGGTATAAATTCAATTGAATTCCAAATCTTTTCAGGACCATTTTCAAGGACAGCAGTGAATTTCAACGCAGGAGGCAAGACAGCAGTGTCAAATATAGTGATGGCAACAGCAGTAATGATAACACTGTTGTTCCTTACACCACTATTCTATTACACTCCGCTTGTTGTGCTTTCCTCCATTATTATTGCAGCCATGCTTGGCCTCATCGATTACGAAGCCGCCATCCACCTTTGGAAGGTTGACAAGTTCGACTTCGTCGTCTGCATTAGCTCCTACCTCGGTGTTGTCTTTGGTAGTGTTGAGATTGGCTTAGTTATTGCGGTATTGCCTATGCTGTTCACATTGTCAGTCAGTACATGTCGGCTCCTCGCACTCCCCACTATACTGCTCTACTCCGGATAAGTATGATTTGGGAAGACTAAGACGGATGTGTGAATCTCATTTGTGCAAGGATATATCCGTGAATTCTGCAGCGAGAACTCTAGCTTTGGCAGACTGTTTTCATGCTACAGAATTAAAAGCCGTTTGTCTAAGATTTGCTGCTGAAAACCTTGCAGGTAAATTGGTCTGGTTCTCATATTGTCTTCACCTTGCTCCCATGATTTGGATAAGTTCTTTACTTTGTGGGTTTTTGTAATTGGAAAAGCATCATGCATTAATTTTAAGTAGGACTCTTCATCATGACACCCCTTATGAGATGTTTTTATCTTTTGCCTTCACATGGTCAAATTAGTCCCTTTCTCTTGCAGCCTTACGTTGAGCTGATTTATTACTAATCTCATATATGAAGGACATGACTCATGACTATATCCAATGTCAATTCTTGCAAGAAGAGTTAATGCTTTGAGAAGTATCCTACTAAAGTTGGCAAAAATAAAAGTAAATTGGATTTGTGGTTGCCTTCCTCTCTAGAATGGTGTTGCAAGGCGAATTGGAGAATCTTCCGAGTGTCGTGGAAGATGTTTGATCTCTCCAAAGATGATGTAGATGGCGAGACGGGGGTGTCGGTAATGGAAAGAGGTTGAGGTATATGGAGATCTGTGAAGCTAGGGTTTTCGGAGGGTAGATGGATATGCTTGTAACTGAGAGAAGCAATTAAGGCTAGATGGTTTTTGGAGGCTAGATGGATCTGTGAAGCTAGTGGTTGCAAAAGCAAGATGGGAGAAACCTTGGTGTGCGTGTAGTGGTGATTTTAATATCAAATTTCCTGTGGAGAGAAGAGGTTGCAATCATATTACTTCTTCCATGAGGGATTTTTTGAATTTTATTGAAGAGAATGAGCATGATGGATTAACCTCTCATAGTTGCCACATATAGGCGGTGCAATGTCAAGGTGAACCCCTCTTTATCCTGGATTGACAGGTTTTTTATTTCATTGGAGTGGGAGGAAAGGTTCTTGAATGTTTCTTGGATAGCTATGCAGAGGCCAGTGTTTGATCATGTGTGAGGGTTGGCATCGGCTTGTTCCAGCCCAACCCACCTATTGAAAAACATGCCTAAGCCTGCCCATGGGCTTATCTCGACGGGAATTTTTTTTGCCGAAAATATAAGCCCAGGCCCTGTCTAATAATAGGCTGGCTCATGGGCTGCGGGTGTGGGATGTTCGTTTAACCTTTTTATTAATCTCATTTCTTGTTTACTTGGGTGCATTGTGTTTCCAAAAGCTTCTTGTTTCATGATTTGTGCAGGAGGGACCTTCCCAATGATATGGTGGAATACCTATTTCTTGAACAAATCATGCTTTAACCACATGTTCTCTGTTGTGTGTTATGTGGCTTATGTATTTATGTATTTTGGACTTTATTAATATAAATATAAGGTGGGAAATTCTACTTGCACACCACTCGTCCTCTTAGTACACACCATTGATGAGTTCACACCATATCCAATTTTGATTTTTGATTTTTTGTCTTTTCTCATTCCACACCACATGCTTCTCCTATAATACCCTTATCTTCAATGTTCAAATCCTAACCCTAACCAGCCACCACTCCACCTTCTTCCATCCCAATTGCCACCTTCCCTCGCCTTCCAGTTGCCCCCCCGCCTTCGCCACTGCCATAAAGAAGAAGAAGATTTTGCAAGGGTGGGGGAGGGGCGAAGGATGGTGGCTCAAGGGTGGTGGCAGGGGGCTGGTGGTGGTGATCTGTTGCTCATGGCGGCTAGGTTTGGAGGGGTGTATCATTTGTCTTAAAGTAATTTGGTTGAAGGACAATCATAATTAGAAAAATGGAAAAAAAGGTGTGTACGAAGAGGATGAGTGGTGTGCAAATATTCCCAATGTCCCATATAAGGTGTATAAAGAGAAAGCCCTAATTTTTAGGTTTCTCTTCTATTAGTCTTGCATCGTTCTCTTCTCTCTTCTATATTCTTTTGTTTTTCCTTCTTTCTATTGTAAATCTCACATGGTATCAAAGCATCATTGATAGATTTGTTGAATACAAGTGTTGCTTTTGTTCTTTTTTGTCTCTGTAGAAAAAAAAAAGAAAAAAGAATACAAGGGACTTCTCCACAAGTTGATTTGAGAATAGAGTTGTATTTTGAGTTTGTGAGTTTTGGAATTATGATTTGAGTGTGAAAAATTTGTTTGGTTATGAGTTTTGAAAAAAGTTTTGGAGGGAGTTTTGAGTTTTTGAAATTAGAGAAATTATTTGATTTAAAAACTTACAACTCATAATCAAACACATAATCTAAAATTCTATTAAAATCTCATAAAAATTTAAAAAATTTCAAAAAATATTTTTTATTTACAATATAGGTGCTGCGGAGTCAGTGGATCATTTACTCATTCATTGTCTGGAATCTTCTCGCCTTTGGATGTTAGTTGTTGCGACTTTTGGTTTGGGTTGGGTGCAGCCAGCGTCGGTTCAAGCAATCCTATATAGTTAGGCAGGGGTCGTGTTGGAAGGAGACATCGGAAGGCGTGGATGCTTGCTTCTCATTGTATTTTATGGTTGGTTTGGTTGGAGCGAAATAGGCGCGTTTTTCAGGAGCTGTCTCATTCAGTCCTTTGGTTAGAACGGCGACTTCTTACGATTTTGTATGGTTGGGTGACTAGATCGGTTGATCCGAATGTTTTGGCTTTTGTCGAATTTGTGAAAGATTTGATTTGTTAGTTCGTTTGTTTGTGAAGCCTCTATGGCTTCATTTTTTGTATTCTTTGCATCATCTTGATACTTTTTAATAAAATTTGGTTATTTATCAAAAAAAAATATAGAGTTATATGTTAAACTCAAATTATTAAACATGTTTTCAAAATGATTGTTGGGCACATTCCAAAATCTTACTTTTAGGCCAAGTTTGGGAAGACTAAATAAGTGCACTTTTTGTCTTTTTGGACTAAAAAATTGAGATTGAAAATATGGATGTTTGGGTTAACTTTTTGACTTTTTATGGAAAAATGTGTAATAAAAAATTGTAAAAATTGGTTTGTAGAGGAAAATTTGAATTGGGAGTTGTGCAGCCGTAATTGTTGACTTTTGGTGAATAGTGTTAACTTTTTAACTTTTTGAGTAACTTTTTGACTTTTTAGCTTATTTGAGACTTCCCAAACTTAGCCTTAGTTGAGTTTGTTTCGTTGTTTGTTTATTTATTTATTTATTTGAGAAAGTCAACAAGTGAAATGACAAGCATCATAGGAAAGCTTTTAAAATCCAGAAATGATACATACATTTTTTTTTTTTTAACCCTCACAATTTTCCCCATGTCAATTAGAGATAAGCCCTATTTGATAAAATTGTAAGAAAGTAATTATAAATTATAACTTAACAGATTATAATCTATAACTGTGAACATAAGTTGGTAATTTGTTTGGTACAGCTGTGAGATTATGAATTTAAGCAGCATAGTAGTGTTTGGTAAATAAGTTGTAAAATAACTTCTTACTGTGTAATTGTCATTTTTGCCCTTATGAACATAAAAATTGTAATTTTATCATTTTCTTCACTTTAAATTTTGAAAAAGTTATTTCATTAATGGAAGTTGATATAATTAGTACCTAATTTGGTACATTTTTCCATTACCTCAGTTTTTTATTTTTATTTTTAATATTGAGTGCACAAGGGAACAAGAAAATGTCATTACAATAAAAAACAATAAATTACTATTAAGGTAATAAAAATAAAACTTCCTAGATATTTAAAGAACTCTAATTTTGTTTGCAAATTGACATACAAATATTATGTCTCCTTACTTCCATCTCGTTGTCATCACCTGCAATATTATTTTTATGGCGTGCTTGTTGAGACGAAGATCCTTCTTCTTTATTAGGCATATAATCTGTGAATCTATCATAAGAGTCAAATGCAATATCGCGGAACTGACTTCGTCGGATGAAATTATGAATTGCCATTGTTGCACAAACAA